TGCAAATGAGATCCTTCAAGTTTCACAGTAATCCTAAATAAGGCATCTTCTTATTGACTTCATATCACATACGGGCATGTACAGGTTGTAGGAAGAAACATTCGAAGTTTAATCATGCCCAATATAGCGTCAGGTCCCAAAGAAAGTATTTTGTTTTTTTTTTAGTGGAATTTAGACCAAACACAAAAACTTTGTTAGTACATATCATACGTTAAAGTTATTTCCATTACAATCTACAACTTTTTCCCAGCGTGAAACAATATTGTAAATGCCGCGTCGAAAGAAATCTCGGTCTTTGAAATCGAAGAAAGACTTTAATTCCCTTCAAGGTCCACTTGTGTCTTAAATTTCCTGTTCCGCATATGGTTGTCCAGCGAGAGGAAAAGGTGGTGGCCAAAAGGGGAAATGTCAGTCGAATAGGGTGGATGTGGCAAAATCTCCCAGCCTTTCCGATCGACCAACGAGGGATGCTTTCGAGCAGCTTGAACTCGTTGCAGTTGCGCCGAGTAGACGTCCGCGGTGATCGTTTGGCCAGGGTTTAGGAGCTGATAGTGTACGACGCCGGCTGTTGTCACCCATCAAAATCTTTCTTTGGTGCAGGTTTGGCTTTGGCGTGTGTGGCATGCTCTCGTTGGGCGACAGCCATCGGTACGATCGCTTAGTGTTGCTGTTCATAACCCATTTTTCATCACACGTTAAAATTCGGTCCAGAAATGGTTTGCTTTCAAGAAATGAAATCAGACATGCGCAGATCTGAAGTCGGTTGAGTTTCTTCTCTGCAGTCAAATCATGTGGCACCCATCCTTGAGCTTGCTGACCTTCCCAATGCTATGCAGGCGCGATCTAACAGTTTCCTCGCTAACGCCAAGTCTCTGGGAGCTGTTGACAAGTTTGGCTTGGGTCCGACTCGATCAGTGCTTTCAGCTCATCATCATTAATGATGACCTTCCAGATCGGGGTTCACCTTTAAGTGTTTCATCGCCAGATGAAAATTTTTAAAACCAATTTTGTGCTGCCAGCTCACTAGACGCGTTCTCTCCAAATCCCTTGCAAATGTTCCGAGCAGTCTGCGTCACTTTCTTACCGAGTTTCAACTCGTGCAGCAAACACGCGCGAATAACTTGAAGCTGACGGCATGGTTTCGCTCACTTGACACTTCTAAATAGGCTGATTTTTTCATATGCATTCATGCTCTTTCAAACGGTGCGTAGACCAAACCAGCGCCGCCTGTGCGTAAACATATTAAACTTGTTCGAAGTGGTAACCAAATAAAAAATGAAATAACAATTTTGGGGGATTTGGTATAAGCTTCCCATGAGGCAAAATACTTGGATATGCTAGGGACACCTTCACGTCCCCAATTGCTCTCTTGCCCCCGCCTTTCTTAGAGATTTTCATCTTCCTTTTTCCTCATCCAGGGGGAAAGGGGTGGGGGTGGGGGTGGGGGTGGGGGTGGGGCAGCAGAGGCGGAAACAAACTTGCTCTCATAGGGACAACAAAAAATATTAATCTTGATACCCACCAGCTACGACTAACGGACCGGGTTTTGCCGTTTCCTTCAAGACGCGTGCCTTCTACGAAATCAGCATTTTACAGGGTGGTCACAATGTCTTGTTACGCCCTGTAGAATTTTATGCTAATTATAATTTTTCTTGTCCTTTCAGACTGAGCTGTACAATTATGTGTGATACGAGTAATTTTACCAGAGGTTGAAGTGGGACTCAAATCGCTTCATTAGAATTATACACAGACTGCTTACAGTTCACAGGCTGATTTTGTTCCTAAACGCCATCATCACCATATTCGAGCTCGTTGCCAGTATCATCATTGTGAACGACTCGGTTTAGCAAGTTTTTCATGAGAACTCGAGACGGTTTTGCTGATTTCGTTGTCCCTGCACAATCAATGCTCTTTCATCACCGATTAGCATTAGTTTATGGTACAAATACCACTGATACTGAAACGGTACGGACCATTACCAAGAACTTGTTCGATTTCAGCACCGAAGGAAGCGAACGCATGTGCGGCACAGTACTCTCCAATAATTCCTGAAAATGTCTTGCCCCCAAAATTGGAACCAGTGAGCAACAGTTTACCTCAGGGTAAAGTGTGAGCTGCAGTAGGAGCTCTTTCCCGTTGTGGCAGCAACTGTGAAACAGATTCCCCCTCTCTCAGCAAATTGTACAGCCTTACAACGCTCGTTGCGGCATTCGCCTGTATGTATTATTTTGATGGTATGGAGAGCCATGACAAAAAGTCCTGAGTCCCCTGGTGTCATGGCAGCACATCTCACCGGCAAATCAGGAGGTCAAGGATCGATTCCCGCCCCCCCCCCCTGGCTTTCGACGTCTGAGTCCTGCGTTCTTTGCATCAAGTCACTCAGCAGGCTGCGTGACTCTCTAATTCCTGGGCTTAGCCTTCACTTCCTCCCACTGTTCAGTGGTCTGCGTGGCCCTACGTACCTTGCGGACAGCTGCCTTTATCGCTCATTCTAGCCACCGCGGCTAGCACTTCCGAAAGCACCGTTTTAGGCAGAATCGCTTTTTATCTGCTGCAATTACCTCATTGCTGTCGTGTGCAAGCTCCTCCAACATTTTTTCTTCTCGTTCGATCTCATCTCGCAAAATTCGCCACTATCAATTTTGATGAAAAGAGCGGCCCGCTTGCGCGACGTATGGAGCAAAGAACTTACGCTATTTTTTGTATGCTTCATCGATCATGAGAACCCAAATAAATCGGCCATGACAGGAAACGCGAACAGAGAAGTGTTGCATGGAAGCGATGGCGGAAACCGCCACGCCTGACCTAAAGAAAAAAATTACATAGAGAATAAAATTCCTTAACACGTTGGCGACAATGCGTCCTGATGCCAGGATGCAGATTTTTTTTCAATGAATACCCTCTGGAACTGTTGAGAACGTTCCAAAAGATTATGATTTCGTAATTACTGATAAAAATTCCTAAAAATTCAACATTTAAAAAAAACTCGGCAAAAAAAATGTTTTCTGGGACCATGCGTCCTGATGGCAGGACGCATTTTTTGACAAAAAAAATGTGCGTGGTCCCACGCGGCGGACAAGCAAAAATAGGCTGATCGTCAACGTGTTAAAAAAAGAATGTTTTCAAATGGAAAACACTTGTCGATCGGCGAAAACGCGACACGGATTCAGTCAATCAAAAAGTGCTACTAAGTATGAATCCTATGCAAATTATGTGCCTAAAATGAGATAGTTTCTATGCCCTCGCGCGAAGTATTTGATGTCCCGCCTGCCGATCTTGCACTAAATCGTATTGCGCGAAAAAGAAAGTATTGCACTAAATCGTATTGCGCGAAAAAGAAAGTAAAAATTTTTCTGACGAACTAGTCGAGAGCTGTGAACGAGATTTGACACCAGGGGTGTCAAATCGCCTCGACTTGCCTCGACTTGCCTCGACTTGCCTCGACTTGCCTCGACTTGCCTCGACTTGCCTCGACTTTAGAGTCTTTTCCTGATTCGCCTGCGTGGACCGAGTCACAAGTGAAAGACGGCTGGACTCCGGTTGAGGACATAGATTCGATTCGCCGTCATCATTAAGTACTTTCTGCGATCATAGCCTACCATTATTTTATTTTATTTTTTTTTTTTGGGGGGGGGGAAGATAGTTGGAATGCATCAGGAAGAAATGCCGCGGATGAATGAAATAATCACCTGATTGATTTGGCATATTCACTGCGTCATTTGATTGCCTACTGATGCGAGGTCGCATCTAAACACCGAGGCGCCAGCCAGGCCGCTTCCTTGCCCTTCGGCACCGGATCATGCCCCGTCTCTGATATCGATGAAGTTTCAAGGTCTTCTCATGCTATTGCCCGTCCCAAAAAAAAAGTTTTTCTTCACGTTTTAGCGATTAGACAATTTAAGTTTTTGCCCGGAGCATATCCAAAATTACAGAAATTTCGTGAAATTACATTTGGAATTTCTTACATTCTTGTAATGTTTATCCGAAACTCTCTAGTTTTCCCAATTACTTTGAATTTCTGCTGATTTCGTCCGAAAATTCGTCGAAGAAAAAATAGTACTTTCCATTCGTCTTCCCCACGTTCTATTTCCCCGACGTCACCTTGGCGAAGTTTATCTCGTAACCCATTTCCACGACTTAGAAGATCGAAGATAGTAAAGCGAATCGATGAAACGATGCGATTCCGGCAGGATGAATCTGAATCGCACTGACCCCGCGGGTTTCGACCACGTTGCCAGCCACAATTCTGAGCGCAGCTTCACACAGGACCCTCCAGCGTCGAATATCGCCCAGCGGACCCACGGCGATTCCCCATCTCCCCACGCCCATCCCTCCCTTACGCCAACGTCAGCGCCATGCAGGAAAGAAAGTCCCTATGGAGGACGAAGTAGACGTTATTTGTGTTATTACTCAAAGTCGATTTGCTCGCGGCGGGCCGAGTCGCCTGGGCCCATTTGGCCCTCCTGGGTTCGTCGTTGTGAGGTAGCGTTGCAGGAAGGGTGCTGTATTGCAGGAGGGGCTATGACTCCTCGAGGAAGGAATTTTCCGAGATGAGATAAATTCTCTGCATTTGGATTCATATTCGAATTTCTTAGCAGTCAAATTTTATTTGACCGCTAAGAAGTATTTTCCCGTTTCCTGCTGATCAGGCTGGTTAATGTTTAGCAGAGGCTCAAACTCACATTGCAAACTTCTTTTTTTTTTACATTTTGCATTTTTATACACTTTTACCGAAGCGCCACCATTGCCAAACGACTCTTGGACGCTGCTGTCTGAGCATTTTTTAAGGGTGCAAGGACAATGAGTGATTCCTTTGAAGGAAGATTCAGTCTGATGTGAATTGGCTCAGCGAGTCAAATGGAAAAATATCCCTACACGAATAATGTCACCATGGCGAATGAGGAAGGCCTCCCGCCACTCGTCACCCCATCACCCCCAACGCAGCTCCATAAACAAACGAGGACACAAACCACGCACGTCAGTCGTTCGTCGCCCCGAGGATGTTGGACTACGTGGGCGGCGTTCTCCACTGCGATGGCATGGACCTGGTGACCCTGACCTCGGACCTCGGGGCGAAGGGCATCACCACGCCCTACTTCCTCTACAGCGAGGGGCAGATAAGGGACAATGCCAACGGTGAGTTCCACCCGTTTCCGAGAAGATCGTGTCAGCTGAAATTCTCACTGAGAATTTCAGCTGTCTGAGGATTACTTAAGAATTCTTCTCAACGAAGAAGTTTACCGGTCAAAAATGAAAGTTTTCAAAGTCCTGCGACTAGAGCATTTCATTGATCGGCAAACCGAGGTCGGTGATCGCATCGGACTATTTCCTCACCTCGAAGCAAAAATCAGATTGCGAATGTACGGTATCGGTCTGTCGACTCAGGCTACCTGTCGGAAATCCCCTCCGACCTCCGCGATCGCATCGTGGTCGGCTACGCCCTGAAAGCGAACCCGAACCCTGAGATCCTGGGCGTGCTGCGCCGCGCGGGAATGGGAGCAGAGACCGTCTCGGGGTCGGAGGTGCGCCTCGCCCGGCGGGAGGGATTCCCGCCCCTGCTCATCATGTACAACGGCAACGGGAAGGAAATGTGAGTTCTGGAAATTTAAATTTTCACTTTTTTGGAAGTTCAACCAGTGTTTGAGCGGCATTCCTCTCCACTTAGGATTAAAACGTACTTTTTCCAGTCGATATCGGCACAGATCTCCCTGAAACAGACAACAGGACTGTATACATTTCATAGGCATCCATTCCGGCGGCACCAATTATTTTCCATGCCAATTCTGACCGCTTCCTCCTCGCAGCTGGGAGATCCTCTACGCCGTGAAGGAGGGCTGCCTCATGAACATCGACTCCCTCTTCGACGCCGCGCGGATCGCCCGCGCCTGCGACGAGCTCGCGACCCCCGCCTCCCTCCTCCTCCGGGTGAAGGCCAACCTCCCGCAGCCGGACTCGGTCCATTCGCACGGGACCGCCGCCGGTTCCAAGTGTGGCGTGGAGCTCGATGACGTCGAGGAGGTGATTCCACCACTTTTGGCCCGATGGGCCATGAGGTCCAGATTCGGAATTTGGAATATCCAATCTTGATAAAAACTCTAATATACAATGCCATATTATTTACTTTTTGCACAAAAAAAAAATTTCTTTTCGTCTTTTCGTGAATTGTCTCTTTGCTCGAACGCTTCTCCAGAGTTAAGATAAAGGTTCGTCTTGAGTTAGTCGATAAAAAATGAGGAAGACATCTTGGAATGCCTCTAACGTCCGAACACAAGGTGCAAGAAAGACGAGAAGTCATTTCTCGCCGAAGCGTTTTGAAACCATCTCCGGTAATGTAAGCCCGAGTTATTTTCTGTCGTAACGTCTGGTCACGGTCGTCAACAGCCGCTCAAGAGGTCAGCCGCATTGAGTCGATTTTGGTCAACATGAATCGATAAGATAATTAAGCTGAAGATTAGTGAATCGGTCAATCGTGACTCTTTCCGACGCACTCGACGTTGGAAAGAATTTGCTGAAAACGACATAATTTCACACCTGTACAGGATAATAAAAAAAAAAAAACAATTCTCGCGCTTCATCATCCTCGAAATTGACCTTGTCACTCGAAGTTAGAGGCAAACTCGTTCACTCACCAACGGTTCCGGAACTAACGAGTTACCGTTTTCAAAAACAGGGTAGAAATTGGACTAAAATTTCGCAACTGTTATTCCTTCAAGACGCCGAAAAATTCCCCGCAAAAAAAATTTCCCTCTTCAATCCCGTTCCATCCAGATCCTCGAGCTGATAAAGCGCCACCCGCTGATGAATCTGGTCGGACTTCACTCCCACCTCGGCAGCACCATCACGGACCCCTCGACCCTGGTCGAAAACTTCCGCTTCCTCGCCGGCCTCGGGGAAAAGGTAAGAGGCTTTTCCTTCCCATCAGCAAATCTTGAAGCTTTACAAAAAAAAAAAAAAAAAATCTTGTCAGCTCCGCGCGGACGGCTGGACGAACCTGGACACCCTGAACCTCGGAGGCGGCCCCGCCATCGACTACCGGCGAGACGGTTCCACCCACGCACCCCCGCCGTGCGATCTCATGCGTCACGTCGTCTCCGCCTTGAGGGAAGCCGCCTTCCCCTGGCGACTGTGGCTCGAGCCCGGCCGTTCCATCGTCGGCAACGCAGGTGCAAGCTTCGCGAATACGATGAGAGAAACAGTGGTAGGCCTCCATTACATAAATGATTTTGTGACTTACGTGAAAACGTAAAAAAATGCGAATATCGCAATTGGTTCCTAAATCGCATGGAAGTACGGGAAATGCATAATAAGTGAACGCCATGACGCCATCCCGCTCGATAAATGCCTGAAAGAAAAAAAGTAACATGGAACATGAATGTCCTCGCAGCCGTTCTGGTGACCCGCGTCCTGGGAACGAAAGGAAACGCCAAGCGGAAGCAATTCCTGGTTGCGGACGCGGCCATGACCGACTTCTTGCGGCCGTGCCTCCCTGGCACTTACCACCACATCAGCCCGGTCGTCCAGAGCCGACACGAGGTCGTTTCTTTTTCATTCATTCTTGAGTGAATTTTAGAAGAGAATTTCACTCGGAGTCTTTTTTTTGTAGCTGGAGTAGCAAAGGTTCTGAGGAAGGTACTTCGTCTGTGTAAAGAACCCGCATGCTTTTGTATAGACTTCATATACCTCTGGCTTGAAAAAAGCACTGGATGGTAGAGAGAGAGAGAGAGAGAGAGAGAGAGAAAAAATCTGGACGTAACACTTGAGAGTCTTGAAATGAGGGCGAATCGCTGTCCTTCGAGAGGATGCAAAGGAGGCCGCCACAATAAAGGAGGCTATGGGACTGCTAGGTCTGTTCTCGGCTCGTGAGGGGCGATCTCATCCAAGATAATTAAAGAATAATTCTTTAATCATCGTGGGGAAGAATTCGTCCAGTTCGACGGCAGCAAGAGAACGAGAGCTAATCAACTTGCATAAACGACAGGCGCGGTTCAGTTCCAGGCCGGAATTTTTTACTTGCGGAGTGGCGAACGCTTGGAATCACATCAGATGACGAAGTAGCGGCTGCCCCTTCCGTGGCGATTTTCCATGAAAAACTTGATGCTTTCATGGACAGGGAAAAAAAAGGGGGGGGGGGGGCAACGTTGACGTTCACCCCACCCCAACCATTGACGAAATAAATTACGAAAATTAAAAAAATAGGAATATATATAGCTTTAGGAAGGCAAGGCCTATCCTAATTTTATGGCGAAATCGATGTCACATACCCTTGTATCCATTGACCTTCATGTAATAGACACAAGGTATGATACCTTGTATCCATTACTTTTTTAAACATATTGCTGACGGATTCGGAGGTACCAAGTCCGGAATGAAAAAAAAAATCTAAAAATGAAAGCTCCTCCCATGCATACCTCGCTCAATGAAGTCCGAAGGCTCTGAGGATCATCGACCCCGCATTTTCGACCAAGCAGTTCTTGGGGAAATCTTCCGGAAAGAGTGCTGGAGCGCTCAGACGTTCTGGAAGATCCCGGATTAGGGAAGATCCCGGATTAGTCTATGTCATGCTTCCTTCGTTTTTCATCTCCTCCTTTTCGCTTTTTTATTTTTCGTCATTCCCAAACGTTTTTCCCGTTCGGATGCTTCGGCGTTCGTCTCGAAAAGAGCGATAATCCTATCGTCAGTATTTCTTCAACTTCTGAAAAATTAAACTTCATAAGAAGCATCCACGAATAAACGTTCAAATTTTAATATTTTTTCTAACGAAGCATCGGCCGTCTCAGGAATCGGACGAGATGGACGTGGTCGGCGGCGTCTGCGAATCCTCCGACGCGATGGGGCGAAACCGGCGCCTCCCCCGCTCCCTCCCGGAAGGGAGCCTCCTCGCCGTCTGGGACGCGGGCGCGTACGGGATCGTGTTCGGGTCCAACTACAACCTCCGGCCCCGGCCGGCCGAGGTCATGGTCTCGGGGCGGGGATGGAAGGTCATCCGGCGCAGGGAGACTTTCGATGACTTGGTCCGGCTCTACGACAAGTGCGATTGAAGGCCGACAATTTTCGCTGGAGTCGTCCCGGGAACCTTGAAGGGCACTTTACCTCCTACGAACTTATCTGACTTTCACACATTTTGAAGTTTTTTTTTTTCAAGTGCGACTGAAGGCCGACAATTTTCGCCGGAGTCGTCCCAGGAACCTTGAAGGGCACTCTAACCTTGAAGGGCACTTTACCTCCTACGAACTTATCTGACTTTCTCACATTTTGAAAAAAAAATTTTTTTTTTCGTTTCGGCTTCTCTGTATTTTGCTTCACTGTCTTCCTTGGCTTACCTATATTTTTTTCCACTGCTTCTCGATTTCGGACGTCTTATTCATGAGATTTTATTTTTCTTCGTGCCTCTTTTTCCAAATGAACATTAATAAAGGCAAATCGGTTCTGCAATACCGGTGCTGGTCAGCGGCAGCGCTGTCAAATCCCAATCCTGCTTCCGAAATTGGTTCCTGGCTACGCCATTCCAAACGGGAAGATGGACATTAATACCATGCCGATGTGAAATCCTATACGATAGCCCTGAGCGGGAAAAAAAATTGACATTTCTGGCATGAATTTTGGAAGAAAATTTTTTTCTGAACAACAGAATGGGAATTTCGCAGAACCGTATTTTTCGACGCTTGACGTCGTCTTGCGAATTTCGTAACACTTGACCTTGAAGGAGGAAGGATTTCCTGACTTAGATTATTCATTCCCTTAAAGATAAAATAAAGTATTTAAATAATATCTTGTCTCTACAAAGATTACCTTCTTTTCAGTCCATCAGAATGAAAAAAAAATTTCAAGGATAATGATGGACTGAATCGTTTTGTCTGGTTTTTGGGAACTTATGTATCCCTGTAAGTCTCTACACCTAACTGATAATAATTCTACCCCCTTTTTCACACACAAGGCACGCATTTCTTAATTGCTTCTCGTGCGGGACGAAAAATAATTGCTTACGCAATTGTTAAATGTCCTGTACAATTTGATTTTTTTGCATGATAGCTGAAAAAGCATGTTGAATACTTCAATTATGTTTTCTACGGGTTCGAGAAAATCACCAACTTCCCACGTCGTCGAAAGCCGCTTTAGACTTTCTTCATGAGGAATTTTCCATGAGGAGGATTTTTATTTTAAATGAGGTACCAAAAATATCACAAAAAGCGCGTCTGACGAGATCGAAACCCTTCAAGCCCCATTCAGCTCCTCCCTGGCGGAATAGACCATGGACAGGTCGATGAGACACGGCTGGGGGCCGAGCTCCCTCTTCTCCTTCTCCCGCCTCCTTATGGTCCGCCAGATTTTACACACGATCCAGATGCAGCCGAGAAGACCGAACGATCCCAGGAGACCTGAGGGGGACAAGACACCGTTTCCCTCAGACTAGGATGAACATACAGATTCACTCAATTTACCAGCTGATTTTTTCCCCTTCTGTTCAAATACTACACAGATGGACGTTTCAGTTTTGCAAATATTTCTCAGAGAAAAAAAGACCACCACTCCACTTAATAAATCCTTCTATCGAATGGATTCTTCACATGAATCGAATGTCACCAAGTCTACCACTAGTAATCTGTGAGCTATTCGGAATGGAAGTTGCTAGTCTTACAGAAATGCGTTTCATTCAAAGAGGATAGAAAATAAGTCATTAGAAAGGTGGGATAACCTTCAAACCGAGAGAACTATTAGCTGCGTCTCTGCTTCGTCGATTGCTCCGATAGAAGCTTTACCTGAGAAAGAGCTATGAAGGAGCGTATCATGTAAGCATGGTAAGGAAGTGGTAACATGTTTTACTACCCAGAGAGTGGTTCCAGTGGGTAGGCGATATGAGATTTTTGTGAAAATTGCTAGTCTGGTCTGAAATGTTGAAGCAAAAAATTACATGAAATTCCTATAACCGAAGTTACACCGCATCCCTCTGCACTTCGAGAAGACGCGCTTCGACCAGTCTTCAAAAGAATTCCGAAGAAAATGGGATCGAGAGAACCTCCGAGGGAGTAGAGGACGATGGCGACGACGTGGACGCCGCGGAAAGGAGTGTGGACCGAGTTGAGGAGGCTGATGAGGGATCCCAGCATCGTGAGGACGCTCCCGACAATGAAGGATATCAAAAGCACGGGGATCCTCAGGCCCACACATCCCAGCTGGAAAGAAGAGAGAGGAGGGGGCGCATGGAGGATTGGAATTCTTAGAAGTTACAGGATTTAATCAGTCCTCGAGGAATCCACAAAAGAAAAATGAAATTCTTTGGTGTCCGTCCCCTTTTATCCCAAAAGAAGCCCAATATATAAACGGATTTCGCGTCGTTTCGGATAGGAATGGATCCAAGGCCTCGCCATTTGAAGTCCTTGTATGTTAGCATGAAATGAGAGATGGACTTAAAAAATATTGCGAATGAATTATAAACGAAATTTCGCACTCAATATGCATCCAATGAAGGGGAAGATACCCGAATCGCATACCAATGTTGGACGTTCGAGATAATTTGCCGAAAAATCTCACCTCATACTGCGAAACTCGGTCATGCACGGGTATAGCTGACAAGTTTTGTTTCATACGTGGCATTTCGGATGAGCCTATGGAGAAAGCCTTCATTCCTTACTCTCGGTAAATGAAATCTGAAGAATATATCCCCCATTGAGTCCAAGCCCGAAGTGCCCGAACTGACGAAGTGGAAGACCTTCAGTCACACCCAATCATTTAAAGAGGGGGGGGGGTGAAAAGTGCAATTATACACATGCCAGTTAATGCATAAAATGATTGAAAATCGCGAGTATACACCTTTTCCCGAAATTATGCATACAAAAAGTTCATTTCAACGATTCAGCAACCATGAATGCCACGAATGAAATAATTGTCCTATCCTGCTCTAGTCCATGCACTTTCGAACGGTAATGAGCCCATGCATACAAATGCCACCGCACCCTCCATCCCAAAAGCAAGAATCCTCTGATGGACCCCAACCTGACTCCCCCCACAATCCCGAAATTCCAGTGATAATCAACACGCCACCTAATGCCCTCTTGAGACCCCACCCTATAACTATTTCCACCTGATGCAGATTCCGTTCAAGGGCTCTCCAGGCCCCTCATAAGCTTGAGATATGGACACGGATTTGTCCCTTGGTTTCCATTAGGTAATTCTCTGTGCCCAGGAATTTATTTCTAGGAAAGGTGGAAGGCGTCCAAGAAACCCATCTGAGCAACAGAGTAAGAATCGTGTACGATCGGCATATATTTAACGCGATTCTTATTTTTGGTAAGCCGAATAGCCAGCGAAAAGGCATTGAAAAACTTGCCCTGCCCCAAATTCATCCAGAAATTGGCAAAAACACGGTGATTGTCCTCCGGCATGGAATAGGATGCTCCCCTCGCATCTCTATAATTAAATTACAATTAATGGTGTTACTTATTACTGATTATTCAAGATGAAACTCCCTTCAATCGTTTAATCAAAATGACCACAACTGGCCATCCATTCCATTGACCGGATTTTAATCGATCCAATCTCTTCTCCTGAACGAGACGAATGACAGATTAAGGTTCATGCTCATTTTCCATTACACTTACAGCGTCACCATTGTTCTTGTACTACTTTTTCCAGGACCAAGAGTACGTAAACTTCTTCCTGAATGGTCAGCTATGCGAAAGCACATAAGCTCATACAATCTCACCAGATTGCGATCAGGAAACGTTCAAATACAGTGAACTTCGCGCAAAGAAGTAACTTTTGTCTTCTTCGACTCGGTATACAATACATGGGAACCCCGTAAGGAGTTTCGAACCATCGATCAGAGAAGATAAAAGGGAAGATGAAAAGGGACTGTCACGCTCGGTGCTTGCCCAGTTTTCTCCTTAAGAACCTTGCATTATTCAGTATGTGAACAAGAGGGATGGAAGAAGGACTGCAGTCTTACCCGGAACTCCCATCGCAGGAGTTCAGAGGAGGTGGGCGGGATGTCCGGCCACGGCCGCTCTGCCATGTCTTTCTCTCTGCGGGGTCCCTTCACATCTGAACATCAGCAACGGGATAATGCCTTCATCTGGATGGGAATACAATTACTCTCGAATCGTTTCTTCTCTGCCATTGCTTGTGGGACGGATGTGTTGTATGAATTACATATATCATACCTGTGCACTGTATTCCATGGCGTAATGATACACGAGTCCCAGGGAAATTATAATTCCACCTAGGGTAATAAACGCGTAGTAACAATAAAAGTGAGTAGCAAAAAAAACAACAATAGTGAGGACTGACTCACTCTCTCACGACCCACTGCAGCAGCACCACCTTTACTGATAAGAGGGCTCGTTCCAGCGTCTCGATGCTTGATGACACAACGCTTTTCCAATGCTGATAACAGGTCTTATCGGAATAACTTCGCAGAGGAACCTCCGCACGGTCCAATTTAATGGAACACGTGTTGTCCCCAGTGTGCGTGACATTCAACAATTGCATACATGCAATTGTTGAAAACATTTCGTCCTGCCATTAAATAATCCAGTCAAAAAAATTATTCCATCAAGTGCATTCAATTTAACTCGATAAGGAGCCAATCACAAGCATAACTGGTATTGGGAAAAATAAACATTTTAAGAAGCATTTTCTGGGTATAATTTGAGCATGATGCTGTAAATGCCCAATTCTTGTATTTGAACATGAGCAATCATTGCCATGTAATTTTGTTTTATTGGAAGACAATTACATGCAACCATTTGCAATGGTGCATTAAAGAGCCTCCTAGGTGCGCATATGGTCTGCAATGTGTACTTCTTAAAGGCAATTATTGTAGTAACGCTGTTAATTGTTCCTTTGAATCTTTTTTTAAAATATGTTACCGACGTTTCGCAAGCGCTTCTGCATGTCGGGGATGCAGGTGCCCCTTTCGTGCCTTCTCAGTGCTTTCCTCATGCTTTCCTCGAATCGGTGAAGGGAACGCGTTCTGCTGGGAACGAGTGGAGAGCGCAGTGCGTTCTGCGGTGGTCACGCGATCGGCTCGGGTTTCTTCATCGATTGGATAGGGGGAAGTCAAACGCTGGTATTGTTTAACAAGGTGTCTGGATCGCGAGCACCGTCGGCTTTGTTTTACACGTTTGGTACAATTGCAATGCATGCATCGTCCTGGTTTTTCTCATATTTTATTTGTTTATTTATTCCCATTATGTCTCTGCGCCTGACCGCGGGAAGCTTTGATGCCTCCAGGTTCACTTTTCAATGTGGATGCATAAGTGCAAATGCAGGTAAGGCAATATTGTCCAACTGCTCGAAATTAAAATTCTTCCAAAATTTTCCCACATTTGTTCATGCAGACAACATAATGAATCCTTCATTTCGAGAAAACGTCTGAGTACAACTATATACGATTGGGAGACAATCCTATCCACTTTGTACTGATCGTCACACTAGTATTATTTTTTAATATTCCTCAGGAGAAAGTGAATTCTCAGGATTTCTCTTTCGGTTTGTTTCTTTTTTTTTGTGCTTCTTGCTTGTCTTGTTTCTTGTTTCTACTTCCTGACACTGAATGCGACGCAGAAACGGGACTGCACCCTCGTTAAATTTTCAGACTCTAGATGCGCCTGCATGCGACGCTGCTACAGCGATTAATCTCAATCGGCAACCATGGCAAAGGGTTAACAAGGGGTTGCCCTCAAAAACCGCTAGTTCGAGGCCAGATTCCGACCGGCAAGGATGAGGCCCCCCTTAAAAGTATTGATAAAGTAATGCTACAGGCTCGTACTGACAAAAGAAGATAAATCCTGAAAGAACGTTGAGAAAACTCTCTGGATTCATGTTCTATTCTTAATCTGCTATTAGTTGGGAATAAGCTCGAGTAAATCATCTGCAAGAGACAATCAGCCTCAGGAATTAATTTAAATGGATTTCGACGCGATTTCGACGCGAGTTTGTCCTCGCTTCCACAGGAGATCTCGTCCATTCTCAACGTCTGGTTTATTTTCAATAATTGCTGATGGAATTGCTTTGGCGCAACAAAATTGGGTGACATTTGAGGCATCAGTTGGGAAAATAGTTTTGCATGCAAAGTAAACGTTTCACGAAAATAGCTCGTGGCTCAATCGTGAGCCAAACATCGGTATATATGCATTTTGAGAATTTCGTTTGTACGTAGAGCTGTGCAAAAATCCGTTAGAACTTCTGAATGTCGATCGTGCTTCTCATTCGAGTCCATCATCATCTAGCACAGCGACGCATTCGATTATTCATTTCCAATTTCCCTTTCTCGTTTCCATTTGCCATGAAAGCGTATAGTTATAAGAAAAAAATTGCACGAAAAATACTCTCCTGCTCTGCAAAGCAACTCTGACGTCTCCATACTAGGCACAGCCAAAAATGTATTTTCTAAAGAGGTTTTAAATATCACAAAACTCTATGGGCGATGAGATCAACCACCACTTGGCTCCTCTCAGCTTCTCCCTGCTCCTCCCGGCTCCTCTCAGCTTCTCCCTGCTCCTCCCGGCTCCTCTCAGCTCTTCCCTGTTCCTCCCTGCTCCTCTCGGTTCCTCTTAACTCCTTCCTGCTCCTCTCTGCTCCTCCCTGCTCCTCCCCGGCGGAGTAGACCATGGACAAGTCGACAAAAAACGGCGTATGTCGCCGTCGCCACGCATTCCTCTCCTCGTCCTTGGCCTTTATGGCCCGCCGGATTTTGCACAGGATGAATATGGAGCCGGCGAGGCCCCCAAACGCGAGAACGCCTGCAAGGGGAAAAACGACCGAGTGCGAATCCACGTGCCATTTTTTTTTTGGCAAAGTACGCGATGCTTGCTTCTCTGAGACGGTGACTTCTTAAGACGGAAAGGACATGGTTACCAATGTCATTTAGATATATGGGGCAGCCAATAATAATAATGAAAACAAACTATGAATGAAATGGAAGGCCAAATTGCCACAATTACATAGCAGTCAATTAAACCGTGAGTCAAAGGACACTTGCAGCATAAGAAATGAGGATTTGGTAACGCCGTCTCTGGATACTTCATGAGAAACTTTATTCTAATGCACATATAAAGTAATATTTTGCATTTCATAACCCAACTTAATAAAATAAACATTTATAATTGCTATCTTCTGTTCCCAAAGTGAGGCATCCCCAAGATTCAACGTGAATCACCGAGGCAAGCTTGCAAGAATGGCTCTGTCCCCGGGGCGAACCGAGGTGACAGAAGGAACTCCATGCGGAAAGTCGCCATAATTTTCCGCAGTGGCGACAAGCAGATCGCGAAATTCTCACCGTGAATGGTAAATCAATCATTTTTCAATTAATTAATTAAAACGTAATCAATTGCATTTAATCGAATACAATGTAATTAAAACTTAATCAATTACATGTAATCTAAGACAAATTAATCAATTGATAATTATTCAATTGTGAACTAATCACATAAAATCACAGAATAAAAAACCATAAGAATAAAAAGCGTTCAGAATTTTGAATTTAAATAATTCCTACTGTGCATCAGAGCTTGCGAAAGCGGAAAATAAACGGCGGGAAACCTCCAGAGGAGATGAGGACGATCGAGATGAGAAAGACGATGAAGAGAGACGAGTAGATCTGATTGAGGAAGAGGCAGAGGATCCCCAGCATCGCGATGACGCTCCCGACCATGAAGGCCACGACCAGCAGGGGGATCTTCACGGGGACGCATCCCAGCTGGAGAGAAAGGTGAGGCGGTGAGGCGGTGAGGCGGTGAGGTGGTGAGGCGGTGAGGCGAAGCCAGGAAACGATCTCGTTTTTGAGTGCGGGATCGGTTTTGCGCGGTCCGATACTTTTCTTACGTGACTGCTGCAGTCGAATTGAAATGCTATGATGGAAGGCATTTGAAATTTTAAGAAGCGATCGAGAGGTGGTAAGTTGACGATAAATAACGATAAATTAACGGAAGAGATCGGGATATGGGGATGATTGAACGAAATAAATTCGCCGTAAACTTCCTCCATTCCTTACCGATTTCAACCTTGGAGATTTCCACATTGAATCCACGAAAATTCCATTTACTGTGCACAAAACATGCCCGAGCAATTCGGCCTCGATCCCAGTCACGGCCTCGATCCCAGTCACGGCCTCATCGCCAGGCATTACACCCTTTTCCATCAGCAAATCTGAAAGACGAATCCCTCCTCCCTCGAGTTCAGCCCAGACCTGCGAGGCCCGGCAGCGCGAGTTCGTTTAAACGATCGGAGCTCTTCCGGGAAACCCCCATAGACCCTGCATTAACACTCTCAGGCGATATGAAAGCGCCACGAAACGGGTTCAAAGTATTAGGAGGCCGTTTACCCGGAAAGCGGAAAGAAATTCAAGTGCTCGGGAGGTTACTCGCTGTGAATCCAGATGGCAGCACCGATAAGAAGCGCGCTGGAGATTCTCTCCCTTCTCCACAGATGGCGTATGCCTCTTACACTCATCCCAGCGGTGTCGGCGTCAATTTCATGCTTCCCTTTCTTCGTCCCTAATTCCTGCTGTTTCCGCATTCACGCAGGCAGATCTCGAAGAAGAAAACTTGACTGGACAATCAGATTAGAGTCGGAGCGATGCAAAGTCTTTACGTGCGACGAGCTCCTATATACAAGCGCTGAAACGTGGATCGAATTGCCTTTCAACTATGAAAAAAGCGTCAAATACGATGAATCGTCCATCTGTCCAATAATGAAGCATCTAGAGCGCTGCTTGAAATTGATGGACTTATGACCTTTCAACCCCTTCCCCCGTGGACCTTCCATTAACCCCTCCAAGCATCCAACCGGCCCAACAGCAAGGCATCCGAATGCCTCCCATGTCCAACGATGAGGCGACCTCCCGTTCCATCGAGCACTCTCGGGCGTCACGATCGGGATGGAGGCGACGGAGGGCAGCGCTGGAAGACGGACTGCAGTCTTACCCGGAACTCCCATCGCATGAGTTCAGAGGAGGTGGGCGGGATGTCCGGCCACGGCCGCTCTGCCATGTCTTTCTCTCTGCGGGGTCCCTTCACATCTGAACGCAACGGGATAATGCCATGCTCATCTGACGAGGAATAAATACCGATTACAATATCGAATTCTTCCTCTCTTCTCCTGTCAAGCGACTGCCATTAATCGAGATGTGCTTTCAGGGCAATCACTGTAATGGATGTAATAACCCGTAACGGTTGTAATAACTAGTAATGGATGTAATAACTAGTAATGGATATGAATAGACTCACCCTGTCACACACTGTCATGGCGCTACTGTTCCTGACCACTCCCTTACACGTTGAAATGCTCATCCCAGTCCCTCGCGTTTTGATAACGTAAAGCCTTCCCGATAACGCAGCTTATCAAATCACTACTCGGAAAGTACCGGCACAGAGTCCCATCGAGGCAGGAGCCTGCCCGACGAGATCTCTTTGCGCTTCCCGAGCGGGTCGGGGATGTCGTCGGGGGGATGTCGCGGGGGGGATGTCGCGGGGGGGATGTCGCGGGGGGGATGCCGGCACCCGTTCCCACGCATGGGTGAATGACGGCGTCGTTCCCGTTCGGATCCGGCGTCTCCTCTTCCCCATCCCATTTTACGCTGAGAATCTGAGCGCGAAAAAAAAAATTATGGCTGCTTATCGGCTCGCTCTGAAGCCAGGCGAGGGAAAGATATCGAAAATTACGTTCGTTGAAAAGATTCCGAGGCAAAGTATGCAGAAACGTGCAACCTTTTTATCTCTATTTATTTTGGTACGACTGGGACCTTGCCTTTTACAACCCGATGCTTACCACATAACGGGGTCAAGGACGTTTCAAAGCCCGCCTTAAGAGCCCGGATTTTATGAACGGCGAACCGTCACAAGACGAGCACGGAGACGGCGACGGCTCCGCGCCCCCTCCGCGCCCCCTCCGCGCCCCCTCCGCGCCCCCTCCAGTCGCCGCGGACGCGCCGCCAGTCCGTCTCGCATTCTCCTTTTAGCGGTCGTCCCGCGAACTATGCTTGCCGATACGCTCGCGATCGGGAGCGAAAAGTTTCTGTCGCATCAAACTGTTCTGGCGATTAGGAATGCTTATACAAATGGTAAGTAGTTTATGTAAATAGTTGCGTATGGCATGTTATCTATCGCGATACTAACATCTTGCATCCTAACATCCTAACAACTTTTATCACCAATTAATAATTAAATTAATTAATTACTTGTATTATTTAAATTTATTCAAATTGTTATTTATTATTTTTTAACTAATTTAATTTTTCTTCATTAATTTCGTCGAATCTATAGCAAGAGATCGACTGAGAAAGAGGGCGCTGCCGACAACTGCGCAGCGCCGCAAGAGGCGGTGGAGCTCCCCCCCCCCCCCTGTGGAAGGTGGAGCTGCCTGTTCCCCCTCCCCCCCCCCCCTCCCCCCACCAGACACGAGGCTCATCGGAGCTGATCTCGCTCCGTGGGACGTCGATGGAGCCCAGCTGCGCTCTGCTGCACGGGGAACGGCATGTGTCTCGCCTCCCGATCGCGCCCGCGAGGAATCACATCATAGAACCTGGGAAAAAAAAAAAAATAATAATAATAATAATGATGATATTGAAGCGAAAGAACGAAAAAAGAAAATATGCCGAGGAGAGAGAAATCGAGAAGCATGGCGGAAATGTGAATGATTTATGCGAAACGATAATGCCGCAAATTCTGCTCGATTGAGCACTGAGTTGCCACGACCGAATAAATTCAGATTTTAAAAATTAAAAAAAAATTCGAGCGCGTTCCAGCGTTTCTAGAACCCTTTAAATGATGGTGAGCGTTCTCTCGACTCGCTCTTTCTATTGTGGTGCTGAAAACGCATTTCGCTTCTTTTTTTTTGCGTGGAGGAGGCGGATGGCTCGGATGTGCGAGAGTCGGAAGCGACGATTCTCCGACGGAAGCGACGGACAAAAGGGTCCTTGAGCCTTGATGGCCGCGTGCCTTGATGGCCCCGAGCCTTGATGGCCCTGTGCCCAACAAGTTTTCATTAAATTGTCTAAGGAAAGAAAACAAGAACTGTAGCTAATTTGTTTAGCGACTGTGCTACCAATTTTTCGACGGTGCTACCAATTTTGCGACTGTGCTACCAATTTTGCGACTGTGCTACCAATTTTGCGACTGTGCTACCAATTTTGCGACTGTGCTACCAATTTTGCGACTGTGCTACCAATTTTGCGACTGTGCTACCAATTTTGCGACTGTGCTACCAATTTTGCGACTGTGCTACCAATTTTGCGACTGTGCTACCAATTTTGCGACTGTGCTACCAATTTTGCGACTGTGCTACCAATTTTGCGACTGTGCTACCAATTTTGCGACTGTCTTTAACCTAATCCCAGGAACTCCTTCGAATGTGCGGAATGAAACGAAATTAAAATGAAACTAAGCAAACCTAAAGTCACTACAAACGAGGCACGACCGAAAATGAAAATCAAAACACGCATCATAAATATTTTTAAAAATCACCTGAGACAACAAAAAAAGCGAAAACTCCCACAAACTCCCACAAACCTCCCTCCCCCTCCCTCTAGACTCCCGGAAACATCTGGGCCGCAGATCGATACCCGCCTTGATCCCTGCCGCCACACACCCGCAACGGACTCGCGCGTGCACACGGAAGCCACCTGCCTGCATCCCGAGGGATCTGGTTTCGCATTTTCGCACACATCGGGGCGCAAATCGGCACCCTCATCCCCCTTCGCAGTTCATCCTCGCCTCCCTCCACCCTCCTTCTCGCCGATCCTCCCTCATCCTCCATCCCTCCTTGGCCTCCATCCTTCCTCCCGCGACATCCCCGTGGCCATGGACGAGAACGAGCGTCGGGTGCGGGAAATGTTCGACTCCTGCGACCGGGAGCGCAAGGGATTCATCACTCGGATGGACTTCCAGGTTTGGTCTCCATTTTCTCCCGTGATAAATATAATATATAAATAAATAATGTATATATAAATAATATATTTATAAATAATATACATACATAAATAATATATATAAATAATATACATACATAAATAATATATATATATAAATAAATAAATAAATAAATTTAGACCTCAAAATTCCACAATTTTTGAACGAGTCGCCTTAAGTCCGTAAAGGTCTAAAGGTCCGGCGTAAAAATTCATGGACGCATTTTTTGCGGTCCTTCTCTCGACAGAAACTACGGCAGGACATGGACCTCGAGCCCGGGGCCTGGGAGGACGTCTTCACGTCCCTGGACGCGGACGAAGACGGATGCCTCACCTACGCCGAGTTCCGCCGGGGATTCCGTGCGTTCCTTTCCATTAATTAATTCCATTAATTGATTCGAGTAATTTTCTCCTCGATTTCGAGTAATTTTCCTTGCGGGCCAGTAATGGGTACGTGATGAGTTGCTTGCCGCAGCACGCATTACCGATCCATTACAAGCCCGTTACACACGTGCTCTCCTTGTGCAATGGATTGGCAGCCTCCCTTCGTGTAAAGGAAGTAATCCCATCTTACTGGTGATTTAGACGATTTCTCGTGCCCATCATGGGCGCAGGGTAACGTTTAAATGAATCAGGAGAGGTTCAATCAGGTGTTACCGAGAAGGTCCACAAGCACTGCCCTTCCCCGTCCTTCCCCGTCCATCCCCGTCCATCCCCGTCCATCCCCGTCCATCCCCGTCCATCCCCGTCCTTCCCCGTCCTTCCCCGTCCATCCCCGTCCATCCCCGTCCTTCCCCGTCCTTCCTAGAATGCAGAAATGGTTGAGAAATGAATTATTTGTGCGCATGCTTGCGCTCTCCGCCGAACTCACCAGGGACTCCACACAGACAGGGTCGATGAGTGGGGAAACCAGGAATATCGGAGGCTGAGGCAACCATCTAGGTCAGCTCCGTCGTGGCACAGCTTCCCCCTCCGTCGTGGCACGGCTTCCTCCTCCGTCGTGGCACAGCTTCCCCTGCCATGAATCGACATAGTATTTATGCGCTTAATACTGCTAATTTTAGTCATAATTAGTTTCGTTCCCATTTTTGTCGATCCGTTCATTCACTCTTTTACGTGTCCCGGTTGAATTCGCAATGCCAATAAATCGCCGATGCAGTATCAGCGATACCCACCCCGATCCCTATTGCCGATCCCCATCCTGCAAAACGGCACGCCGATCGGAATTCTCTCCGCTGCCGAACACGAGGCCACAGGGGGCCATGGGGGGCCATGGGGACTCCGCTTTGATACAGCCCGCTGCGCTTGCGGCAATCCGCCCGATTCCGGTCACGGTCGCGAGGGGGCCATTCCGATTTCCCGTTCCTTTTTTTGGGCTGAAAGATCGCTATGTCGCGTCCACCTTTTGGTTCCACATTCATTTTTTCTTTCATGTGCCTCAGGAAATAGTATACTAACCTGTGGTAAGACCAATTCTGCAGCCGGCACATCCTGCCAAATCGGTGTAGAAAGGCGACCTCGAAATAGGCAAACGCCAGGGAATTTCTTTCTTCTCTCCCCCCAGAGAAGTTCCTGTCGTCGCAGGAGTCCGGCGACCCCGGCGACCCCGGCGACCACGGCGACCACGGCGACCACGTCCTCGACCTCGTCGACCCCCTGCACTGCCCCGAACTGGAGCCAATGTGAGAGCATCGAAACATGTCACGCCCGCGAAACATGACACGCACTTTAAATCATGTCACCTGCGCGAAACATGACACAAACATGACATGGCATCTGCATCTCCCCCCTTAGGCGAGGGGAGATGAAGCGGCTGTGGGACAGCGTGGGCGAGGGGGACACGAGCGGGCTGATGGCCTTCGAGGACCTCATCAAGGGCGTGAGCCGCCAGTTTCAAAAAATGCGGCAGGAGCAGAAGGACATGGAGGCTGCGCTCAAAAACTGCAACCGGAGCTGGGAGGAAACGGTAATATATATATATATATATATTTTTTTTTTTTACTTGTTATTTTTTTGTTCGTGCTTGAGGTTTCGGTTTCGGTTGAGACCGTTTCGGTTTCGGTTGAGACCGCTTCGGTTGAGGCTGAGAGCGCTTTTGCTTCCCAGGTGAAGAAGATGTCGGAAGAGCTGGAGGCGGAGCTGGAGGCAGAACGGGCGAAGCTGCAGAGGAGCGTATGTTTTATTTTTTCTCTCTTAAAAAACTTTAAACGGACCAGACCGTGAATTTCGGCCATTGCTTAATTATTTAATTCGTTAATTTCATGTTTTGTTTTCCATTCTGCTGGAGCCTTAATAATTATTAATTAATAATTGGGAAATAATTGCCCGTTTTAGAGGCACAAAACCACTATCTTCCACTCCTTTCATTCGTCCAGAGATGAGCTAATCATGAGCCCATTTCATCTCATCCCAAAAAAATCATTATAATTAAATTAATTTTTTTAATTACTTCCCCAACCCACTCAAAACGTCAAGCATTCGCGAATTTCGTTTTAAAATATTTTTCGAAATATGAAAATATTTATATAAAAAAATATAAAAATATATATATAATATATATAAAATATATATAAAAAATATGTAATTCCCCCGAGGAGCAGATCCCCCGCCCCGAGGAGCACAAGCAGGAGGCAATCCTCCAGCAGCAGGTGGAGGAGCTCCTGCGCCGCAACGAGGAGATGAAGGAGGTGACGGCCCGCTTGCAGAGCGAGGCAGCCGCCCTCCGCGACGAGAACCGCCTTCTGAGGAAGGAACAGGTCGGGGCACGATCGCCAATTTATTAATAATTCTAATTCTAATTACTAATTAATTCTTTTTTTTTAAATTAATATGTAAATGTATCATTTGTGATCGGTTTGTATCTATTTTGTAATTAGTTAATTTGTTTAGTTAGTTAATTTTTTATTATCAGTTTATGGTGGTTCCGTACCGTACAACGCATACCGTTGATTGCATATAATATGGGTGAAATTCCCTTGGTGCCGGAGGTGCAGAAACACTAATGATAAAATTACTAAAATTATAATTTTATTTTAAAAAATCGTCTGGCAGGAGATCGGCATTAACCGTTTTACATCCATCGCAGGCCTCCTTTCACCCGTCAGTTTTGCTATCTTCAGTTATGCAATTAAATGTATTATATATTATATGTGGTATGATGTGGTATATTTATACAAAATATAAAAATGATATATAAAGCATAAAAATTACAATTACCATATCGAAAAAGCTCAAAAATACAACAAAAAGGATGTTATTCCGATAGCGGCCTTAATTCAAGTTAATTTTCTCATTAATTTGTGCCAATTCGAGCGAGAGTTGGATGAAAGGCTTTGGTCTTTCGTGCCAAATCGGTTCGTGACGTCACAGCGCATGCGCTGGAATGAGGGAGACGCCTGCACATTTTTTTAAATATTTTAATTAGCTCGATATTTTAATTGCTTTCTAAATCACACGAAAAACATGGCGAAAGCAGAAAACTTTTTTTTTCCTCTCATACCAAATAATAAAATAATGATGAATACTCAGCGAATGGGGGCTCTCGCAGATGGACACGAAGTCGAGCCTCGAGAGCGAGCAGCGAGAGCTGGAAGAACTGCGGATCCTCCTGGAAAGACTCGACCGGGGCCGGAAGGACGAGCGGAGAGTCCGGGCCCGCGCGGCGCTCCACGCCGCCCAGAACGTCGCCATCGAGCGAGAAAGTTGAGTCACGAAACCCGGGAAATTTTCAAATTAGCGTAATTAACTAATTTCACGAATTAAATAATTCATGAATTAACTAATTCCAGACCTCGTGAAGGAGCTGAGCACCCTGCGGGACTATCGGAAGCGGACGATGGACGATGCGGACGAGGCGGAGGCGAACCGGCTCGGAGCCCACCCTCACGGGATCCCCCTGAACATGTCAGTGGAGCCCCGATCGTCCCCGATCGTCCCCGATCGTCCCCGATTCCCTCCGGCGTTTCGAACTGAAGTGAATTTCCTGGAATCGCCGCAGGGAGCTGATGCTGAGCGAGGCGCGGAGCAGGGAAACGAATGGGGAGAAGAGTCCCAGGCAGAATCTGGTAAGGGAAGTATTTTCAGCAATTTAAATATATTTTTTGCAACTTTTGCTCTTTTTGCAGTATGCGTGATGACATTCCTGCACTTTTTATCTCATGGTTTTCTTTTTTTTACAAACTCTTTTTTTTTTAGGTTCAGCATTTTTTCGGCTTTTCCAAGTTTCGAAGAATGCAATCGGCGGCGCAGTTTCTTGAGAAGCAGCGATTTTTTGGTTTAACTCACGGTTTTACTAAATAATAATCTTAAAGCACCTTTAGATAATTGGTTTAGATAATTTAGATTGGTTGTCCAAAGTGCCCTTACTTATTAACGCTTCCGACTTGACGGATTCTAGCGCGCCTTCTCTCTTTCCCCTGCCAACTTTCGAAATGCAAATTCTTAGAAAGAAAAGTCCTAATACAGACGAGGTGCCATTTGGTGCCATTTGGTGCCATTTGGTGCTATTTGGTGCCATTTGGTGCCGTGATTATGACGTAGTTTGTCTCGTTTAAGAAGGATGATGGAGACTTGGAGTCGGCTGCGTGTTAGCCGTGAAAAGGGCAGGATTGATCCTTAGGACAATTCAAATGGCGAAGAGAATGTTTCCATGATGTTTCTTGAATGTCGGCTGAATCCTAGGAGGACGTTCTTTGAACGCTCTGGTGCAACTTTGGGAGAGCCTTTGTCAGGGGTCAGGCACGACAAGATTTCATCGGAAATGATAGCATAACATGCACAAGTGAATGTTAAAACAGATTGCATAACATGCACAAGTGAATATTAATACAGATTGCATAACATGCACAAGTGAATATTAATACAGATTGCATAACATGCACAAGTGAATATTAATACAGATTGCATAACATGCACAAGTGAATGTTAAAACAAATTGCATAATATGCACAGGTGAGTGCTATGCAATCAGTTGGTTCGAAAATGTTGGAACCCGATGTTCCCATCGAAGAGTCTTGATCGACCGCGATGCAATTCGCTTCCTCGCTAAGGCAACGTTCGTCCGCGCAGGTCCTCAAGAGGGAGGTGAGGGGAATGGGCGAGGGCGAGAGCATGGACGACGGCTCCGCCTCTTCGGCCGAGTTTCCTCCTGGGAGCGCCAAGCCGGTCGCCCAGTCAGTTTTTTTTTTTCCTGGTGGCTTGCTTTCCTTCCCTGAGGGGAGCTTTGCCGGGAGCCACTTTGCACAAATGCGCTTTGCCCAGAGGCGCTTGGCCCCGAGGAGCGTTTTCAAAAGGCGGTTGGCTGAAAGGCGCCTTGCTTGAAGACTCTTTGTCTAAAAGCGCTTTGCCGAAAACCGTTTTGTCGAAAGTAGCTTTGCCCACATGTGCTTTGCCCACAGGTGCTTTGCCCACAGGCGCTTTGCTTATAGGCGCTTTGTCTGTCGATGCTAACCCAACAGGCGTTTTGCTCGGCTTGCCGTTTCTCGTCCTTCGAGTTTTCCGCTTCGATGACCGGGCGATTTCGTTCTCCCGTCGCCAGGGAACCCGTCCCGAGGGCAGACCCAGCCGTCTTCCAGAAGACGAGGACCGGCCGAGGGGCGACGTTGCCCATGGTAACCGAAGCTCTCAGCCACCAAATGCAAAATCTAGGGCGAAAGGCAGAACCTGTGAGGCGAATCATCATCATTTCTCTTTTCGAAATCATCCAAGTCGAACTTCATATGAATTGATACTTTTTACTTTCAGCGATACATAAAATTATCTTAGAGTTTATTTATTAAATAAATCTTATTTATTAAATAAATTAATTTATTTAATTTATTAATTAATTAATTTATTTAATTTATTAAATTTAATTTATATTTATTTAATTGATTTAATTTATTTATTAAATAAATTAAATCTGCTGCTAAATATATTTCTATAGAAATATATTTAGCAGCAGATTTAATTTTACCGACAAGAATATCACTAATCATATCTTAAATCATATCTTCCTTCATCGACACCTTAAGAAGTAGTTGATAACGTACTCGGGCATCACTGCATGGGATATTTTGCAAATTTCAATTTGGCATTTCGATTGCATCTCCCTGAAGGTCCCCAAGCCGCCAGAACGGATTTTTAAAGTGATTCTCCTCGGCGACTCTGGAGTGGGGAAAAGCAGCATTTTGCGAAGGTGTGAGATCGAATCGCCTAATTTCACTGTAGAACTCTTATTTTTTATTTTATTTTCTTTTTGCTGGAAAAGTGACGCCGCGAATTTGCACAGATTCTGCGAAGGAAGATACCGACCTTCCTACAGCGCGACGATCGGCGTGGACTTCCGGGTGAAGACCCTCCGGATGGCAAAGCACGACGTCTGCCTTCAGATCTGGGACACTGCAGGTCAGTCCACCTCCACCCCTCCATCCTCCAATCCTCCATCCTCCAATCCTCCATCCTCCAATCCTCCATCCTCCAATCCTCCATCCTCCAATCCTCCATCCTCCAATCCTCCATCCTCCAATCCTCCATCCTCCAACCTCCATCCTCCAATCCTCCGTCTTCTTCAGGTCAGGAGAGATTCCGAAGCATCACAACCCACTACTACCGCAAGGCGGACGGAGTCATGGCCGTCTACGACATCACCTGCGAGGAGTCCTTTAAGAACGTCCGGTCCTGGATCTGTGCCGTCCGGGTGAGGCCGTGTCCATTTCCTGATTTTTTTCTGAGAAGTTTTGCGATGGATTTTGATTGCTTCGTTCTATACTGTGGATCTCCCGTTTTCCATCTACGAAGGTCTTCGAAATTAGCTTTTAAAAAATCGCTTCATAAAATCGATCAATTTTTATTTCCTTTCATACTTCCTTCAAATGTAAAAAGAGGATTACTTCGAAAAGAAAGCCTGGAAAGAAGGATGGAATCACGGGATTGCCTTAATTGGGCTTCAACTAGCCCCACAGTGTAAGGAAACTCGGTCGTTAAAAGTCATGGAAAAGGAAACGAGAAATAAGGAGTTGAATATCTTATCGAAAAATATCGGTGCCTTAACATCACGCTATTAAAAAAAAATTCATATTAGATTTTATTAATGGTTAGTATCAATAATTGATTTTTTGCCAATTCGCGACGGCATTTGCAGGAGAACGCCGGCGAGCACGCGGCCATCGTCGTCCTGGGGAACAAGGTGGACCTGGCGGAGGAGAGGAGCGTTCGCGTCGTGTCGCCAGTCGTCGCCGCCCAGCTCGCCGCGGTGCGTCGCTTTCGCTTTCCGTTCCGCGAGTCGAGGACTTTTTTTTTTGGCAGGCAAATAACCTGAAAATTTCCCGGAAATGTGAAATGGGGTGAAGCTGGGTCTCTCTGCTTGTTCGGCTTAATCCAGGAGTTGCGGGGCTTCATTTTTTCATTTCATTTCATTTCATTCTTCATTTTTCAGCGATTTCCATCCCGAATGGCCTCGGTATACAGGTGTTGACGCATTCTTTCCCGACGGAATAATCCAACAAATTCAGGCCAGGTGAATTTGGGGGCCACATGTCAGGTCGCACGAGGTCGGGAGCGCATCGACAATTGCGTTCCTGGTCATAGGATGTAGACGGGATGTAGACGAGATGTAGACGGGATGTAGACGAGATGTAGACGGGATGTAGACGGGACGTGCACGTGCCGTTCTCTTCGTGCACGCCCAACCGCGTTATTAGCAATAAGTAGAGTTCCATTGCCTCCAATCAGCGGCCGCGCCCAGTCAATGGCTGGTATGGAATAACGTATAAATCCGATAAATTAGCTATTTTCGGGGGTATCACATGATAAGTTTGTTAAGTTTGATAGGTTTGATAGATTGGCCGTATGCAGAAACATTTTATACCTATCATGATAGGTATAAAAATCGCTATTTTGAGTATAAGAATAGCATTTTATCAACCCAATTAATTATGTGAACCGTCGCAACTTGTGCTAAGCGCAGTTGCTCTGAGATAGATTAAATTCCGTAGAATTCTTTGTATCAAGCCGCGGCAGTTGAAATTCCAGCACTAGTCCGGTAAACGGGGTCAGATTAATACCGTTAAATCATCACACAACACTCTCGTCAGTCATTTGAGTAGATACACATGACATTGTTCCTGGGCGGGAGACGATGGATAGGTTATCATCAGGAAGATTTACGAATACCTATCATGATAGGTATGAAGATACCTAACATAACAGACATCACGATGGACACCAATAATTTGTTCTTGCATAAGGAACTGAGCAAATAATAGGCCTATCACCTGATACCTATCATGACAGCTATCATGAAATAGGCTATGAATTGATAGGTTCTTGCATACGGGCCATTGTCCACAAAATACAAAATACCACTTTAAGAGTGACAAAGTTCAGGGTTGCCCAAAAACTTGGCTAGCAACCCTGTCCCGACCATCCAGCCGGCTGGAGGACAGCCGCGGAAGCCCGAAGGGAACTGGAGGCTCTTGTAAGCATCATCCCAACCGCAGTGAATGACCGCGCATGCGCACTGAGCCCACATCCGACATTAATTAATGGGGGTGCCGTTTTTGCAGAGAGCTAATATTGACCACCCATTAAAGCTTTTAGGAGGCTGGAATTTCGCCAAAAGTTCCAGGCGAACTCAACCTTGCCCGTTCGTCTCACCTCCAGTTTCCACGTTTCAGCCAAACGGCGGAAGGGGGACGAAGACATGCAGAATGCGAAACCGAAATTGGCCTCAATCTTTCCTTTCACAATAAACTTTCGCGAGAGAAGGTCCAATAAGAAAAAAAGAAAAAAGATCGTGCATACCACTAAAAATCGTCATGGGTCTGCTGGAATAGATTCATTTCGGATTTATCGAGACTAAATGGCCGACATTTCCATGTGAAGTCGATTCGCAATGGGATGAGGATCCATCCTGTTCAGGTGAATTTCATAGGTGTAAAACCGATCACATCTGCCCAACATATAAGTCTGTAGAGGATATGAGTGGGATTGAGGGTGAGAGTAAGGGTGAGGGTAAGGGTGAGGGTAATTGTGAGGGTAAGGGGAGGGTGAGGGTAATGGTGAGGGTAAGGGTGAGGGTGAGGGTGAGGGTGAGGGTGAGGGTGAGGGTGAGGGTGTAGCTGTGAATGGTAGCAGCGCCGTCTGCCCAGCGTGGCTTTCACCACCAGGGCGAGTTTACAAGGCGATTTTCGATGAACGAGAATGGAAAATACGAGACCGTCATAAATTATTGACAGCTCATAAATCCTGGAAATTCAGAAAAACCGGAAAAGTCCGGGTTCTTCATTCCGGCTAATGCGCCAGCGTGAACGTGAGTCCTGATATTGTTTGGCAAATTTTTGTGCAGTCGGTCGGAGGCGTGTCCTACGAGACGAGCGCCAAGACGGGCCTGCACGTCTTCGAGGCCTTCCGCGAATTGGCCATGCAGCTGGAGGACAAGCAGGACACGATGCTCATCGAGGGCATGCAGCTGGAGAACCATGAGCTCAGGAGTAGTCGCAAATGTTGTTGATATTCATAGCCTCAAAAACACATATATATAAATACGTATTTGTTGGGATTTTTTGATTTTATTGAAAATAAACTGGTTCAATGGAGAAAGCATTTCATCAATCGAATTTTACTTGTGCCAGTGTGATGTACTTTTCCTGTCGTATATTCTCCAGCTGGGACTCTTCATGGAACGCCTGAATTGCCTTTTGCGCCTGTGAGAGACGCTACCGCAAGAGGGGATGGTGAGGGCACGAGAGGATGGTGAGGGCACGAGGGGATGGTAAGGGCACGAGGGGATGGTAAGGGCACGAGGGGATGGTAAGGGCACGAGGGGATGAGCGGGAATTGTCAATGCGGCCTCAAAATTTGGCCTAAACTTGCGGCTTTGATGCGACAGGTGAATGTGGATCCTCGGTCGACAAATATGACTCATGCTCCTCGTCTGAGACGCCGTGAGTGGAGGGGTTGCCCTTGGAACTCAGGGTTCCCGACTTTCTTTCGATCAGGGGAAGCGGGATCCGAGTGTATCCCGCTCAGCTGACTGAAAGATGCTGTCCTTTATCTGAGAGCACTGAAGCGTGTCGCAAAGGCCTAGCCCAAATAAAAATAAAATGTCACTCCTGATCCGTTATATCTTCAGTGGCATCATGGTCTTGTTAGATGAGAGATGAGGAACCGGAATTCGAAAGAAGTATGGGAAAATGTGCAAATAATGCAAATATTCTCTATAAATCATTCCTTTGTTCTCATTTCTTGTTCTTGATCCAGAGGTAGTCCTAGCAGCAGCAAAAGGGGGTTCGCCATAGGTGCTGTCACCCCTGTACGACTTGGTGATAATGGGAATGTACAGTTCCTCCAATTCCTTTCGTTTCTTCGTAATCCTCCTTTTCTGCCAGCTAGAATGAAAAGAAGTTCTCTAGAAAAGGGGTTTACGTGCCCATATGTCCTTTTTCATTTCCGTGTCCATGCGCTGCTTTCGATGACTTGTCATCGGATTGGGTGGTCAGCAAGTAGTTAAGATGCGTATTCAGCAAGGAGAGGCAGATTTTCTTATGCTCTCACTATATGGTAGGCCAACTGCCTGGCAATTTCAATATGGCTGCCTCAATGAATATTTCGTTAGCACTTGCATACGGAACAATTTTGGTGGAATTATTTCGTCCCTTTAAACTGAAAGTGAAAATGAGGAAGAAACCAGACATGAGGAAAGGGAAAGGAAGAGGCCCAGGCATTCAAGCCTCTGGAAGGAAATGAGAAGTTAGAGATATCCACGAAATAGTTGCAGACTCAGACGATGAGCATATCAATACTGGATCACAGCGGAGCAATTGGATAATGAAACGTGTCCTGAATATTCACATTTTCATCGGTGTCCTTCAAGAGTTTATTTGAAATCTGTGGGTGCATTTTTGATTAATTACAGAATGTTCAAAACGCAACCCATTGAGAATGCCTGTTCATTAGTAAATTACAAAAACTGTCGAATGTGTTGGCCATTACGATTTGCCCATAAATGTAAACGACGAATCATGTTATCGAACACTTGTTTTAATGTTTCTCTTGATATGCCGTCTACTATATGCCATTCTTGCACTTAAGGGTCATTGAAACAGAAAGAAAAGCAATGGGTTACAATGATATATGCATTCCCCATGGGTTGCGTTTCCTTTTGCATTATTACATTATTATATTATAACACCGTGCATTATTTTTAACAGGAAAGATGTGGTGAAAGACTCTTTGGAAGAAGTTTCAGCAGTGCGGATATGGGAAATGGGCGTATGTGCGGACATTTTCTGCCTGCATCCCTGCACTAAGTTCATTAAACGCTAAGTTCATTTTGAAAAATGTATGAGATACCATTCTACTGATAATTAAGTTTTGACCAGCTTCAGATTAACTATTGGAAGTTGTATCGTTTATCTCTAATTGCATCTTTTGCACATACGCCCTTTTTCTAGAGAACTCAATTTCAACCTGTGAACATGTCCATGCAGTCGGAAGGTTGCGAGCAAAGTCATGCGTCGCCGATGGGAAAAGGGACTTGAACAAGTGAGGCATGGTTACAATCTACCCGGATCGCTCGTCCTTGAACGCGCCGGGTGAGAAGGTCGTAAAAGCGACTGATGTCCTTCACGAATGCCTGAAGGACAGAAGCAAACTATGCCAGTGCAACATCCGTTCGCAGGTGCATGAAAACTTGTACCACCCACCGACGTGGAAGGTAAGACAAGGACTCAATTATCGTGGGATGAAGAGGGTACCTCTTGAACTTATCAAAATGAAATGGTTCTATTTTAAGCTGTCAGCAGACTTCGGCAAACCGCCGCCAAGTAATTGCTCCAATTTATTTTGAAAGTTCTTCGGCCGAAATGAAATTTCAACTTCCTCGCTCCAGCTTCTTGATGATACCCTTTTTTCCAATGTATAAACAATGATGCATAAGCAATGTATAAGCAGATAAACAATGTATAAGCAGTGACAGCAAAACAGGGTGATTTTGAAGCTACTAAGTAATTGTTATAAAATGAAGAATTTTAAGACTATTTTAAGAGTTTACCAAATTACGCAACCAACTTGAAAGATTCAAAGTCCACCTAGACGTAAACAAACCCAATGGCATTTGCAGTGCATGAAAATCCCAGCTGAAATCATGATCGTGAGACAGAAACAATACCTTAATCTCAGCAGGTATTAGTATTCACCACATACGTGATCAGAGTACAAAATTAAATTTGGTTGAGATACCTATTGGGAATTTACCTCCGAAAGAACTTTAGCGCGAATCTTTCCTCTTGTGATATTGTTATGGTGGCATGGGGTTGTAGCCTGTTGTGATTGAAATAAGAACAAATAAGAATGTTAAAATAAAGAAATGAACCATGTATTCATTCGTCACTCATCCACAAGAAGTATTAAATACCCGTCGCCGGCTGGGAAGGAGGGGTCCTGGAGCCTGGAGTCTCGGCTGGAGGTCGACCGTCGAAGTCCTGGTCCCAGATCCCGTTCACGTGTCACGACCTGAGATCCCTCCGAACGACAAACTAGCCTGCGGGTGTTTCTTTATTGTCTGGGTTCTTATATGAAGACCTTCCAGTAAACCAAAGTTCTACTCTGGGATAGACGTTTAGAATGTAATCCCTCGTACTTCTAACACCGGGGCTCGCTAGAGACATCTAGCGGCTGAAATGGAAACTACAGGCCAGGGGTCCCACGCTCAGTCTACTTACCGTGACAATATCGTTGAAGCGATCTTAAAACAACTAAATGGAAAGAATGAAGCGGCAAGCCAGATAAGCAGACTAGCATGAGGTAACTAGCAAATCCCATAGAATACGAGCATTTGAGTCTTTTGAGATTTTTGCTCATGAGATGACGAAGTGGCCCCCCTTCCGTCCCCACTCTCATACCCCTTGTTTCATGAAGTCTTGCTTCATTTCGGGGGGTGTCCAGACACCCAGGACACCCCCCTCCCAGTCTACGCCCCTGCCATCGGTGTTTTTGAATTGAGCTCACTTTCCTCACCCCCCCCCCCCCCCCCCCCCCCCCCCCCCCCCCCCCCCCCCTTGGCTACGTCCCTGCCATCGGTGTTTTTGAATTGAGCTCACTTTTCTCGGTTTCCCTGATGGTTGCAGCAGATAATAACGAAATCCGTATCGCCTCTTAGATCTTATCATTGCCCCACGTGCCCTTGCACGCTTATCTCTCGGGACTGGTACTGAAATGTGGATTCGAACTGTAAAAACGAAAATTCACGTTTGCAGGGAAATGTCGTATTGGAAAGGAAACGAAGATATAACTGCCAGGCAAAACGATCACGTGTCGTCGTGCACCACTGCGAAGTCGGATATGGGCGACGCGATGTCGGTCCGAAAACAAGGAGACCATGGTTGTTGTATCCATGCTTCAGGATTATCATCACTGCAAGGACAGGCGTTCAAACAACTCCCAGGAAGTAGCGTGAATTAGAACACCTCATCATCGACGCATTGAAGACTTCCTGGCAAGTGTTGAGGTGAAGATTCCGATGGTTTCCATTTTGCTTAGAAGGGACTTTTACTGAGTCGGACATCATAATTATCCCGGTATTTCTTCCCAGACATAGGAAGTAATATCTAAAAACCTTACTGCGCTATTTTTTACGGTCCTTCCACGTCCGCGCAATTTCTTGTTTTGTGTTAAAGGACAAGTATAGCGAACACGAGCCGTACGCACATTGGCGCAGGGATGGGGGGCAGGGGGGGCAGGGGGGGGGCAGGAGGGGGCAGGGGGGGCAGGGGGGGCAGGGGGACCACAGTTCACACCGTGAATGGGCATTGGGTGTCATCGGGGCCAGCACAGATGTTTTTATTGCTGAAACTGTCAGAGCACACGGGTATATGTTTTGTACCACTTTCGAAAATGTTGTTACGATTCTCAAACGACCATAACTTCCATGTAATTTTGGGATCACATATATAAGTTTGTAATTCTCGTCCTCATTTATGTGCATTTTAATGTAACTTTCCTTCGATAAATACCAGTTCGATCGAGTTTTAAGGCAGGCAGTTGTACGTAATTACTCTGTGGAAGTAGGTTTTCTTTTTTGCTTTCAACTGTCAACCCATCTGAGATCGATCCGGAAAGTACTAATTATGGCTCCGGATTTTTTAAATTTACAAATATATCTTTCAGTTTCTCTCATCTATGATCTCGTTTTCCTGTGCGTTTCTTAGAGAAAGTATCGTACGTATCCCTGGCTAGTGCTTTTAACGAGTTTTTTTTTATTATAAATAGAATAGGAGCTAAATATAGGGCTGGCCGAGTGCAAGACCCGCACGAAGCTAATGTTGAACAGTGTTCCAGTCGAAGCCCGGGGTTCCTCCAAGATGTGTTTATTGTATTGCTTAATCGTTAATTAAAATAAGCTGAGGCAGAAGCGAGAGAAGAAATAAGACTTCGTCGTGAAGTTCTAGACGAAGGAAATTTGGTTGGGGCGGCACGTTTCATCACGTTTAAGTGACATTTCGCCCTGTCGAT